TGAAGTTTGTGTACTCAGACCAGTAATATTTGGGGTCACAAGCATGGATATTTTGTGGGTCAGAAGACAAAACGTTTGGGAACCACTGCTTTAGAACAATAGAGTCGTTTAATAAATGAAAACTTACATTTGCTTTGTGCCTTTCAGGTCCATATGATGACTTAGAGAATCCAGTCCTTGATAAACTGAATCAAATGATCTCTACTGTGAAACATTGTTTTTTTGTGTATCTTGTTGGAAACAGAGCAGTCCAGCCCTCYGAAGGTTTCATCAAAAATCCACAAAGATTTCCAGCTCACAGGTTCTCCACTGGATTCTGACTGGATTCAGGGCCAAAGGACGTGTTTCAGAGTTGCACCAACTAATTACTTTTTCTCTCTGTACTWTTTGTTTTAAAGGAGTTGCATGAAAACAGGAAACATGTCTCACTATAAACAACCTCCATCACATTCCTCTCARCACCTGACCCACCTGTCAAGTCTGACCTATTCTTAGTCGCAGCGCGTCACGTGGCTGAAAGCRTTAGATTTTTCTGGGAAACTATTTTTTTAAATTTCCATTATGTTTTTTTCCAATGAATTACACTTATAATTATGATATATATAAATAAGGGCATTTTAGYAAGGTGTTTGATTCTTTTGTGTCAAATCCCACATGGTGTGAAAAGATCAGGCACATTTTACTTCACATTTTTACATTTTCAGAACAAAAATTGTCTTTMTTCAGTGCATGCATTAATTTAAACAACTACTGTCAGCAGCAACACGATGGTTTCTTCAGAGCTAAACGTGAAAGTTAGGACAGCAACGCAACARAAACAGGCGGATGGAAACTGTTTAGGTAATAAAAATAAAACTTTACATGATGTGAAGAACGGGAATGTCAACAAGATTAAGAGATGAAGTGACACATAAAGATAATAAAGATGTTAAAGAAAAATTCCAGTTATTTCGAAGCGGGCGTCTGAATAAACGTTATAAACAAAGAGTTGTAGATAAGACCTCAGTTTAAAACAAGTGGTTGTTTTATAAACCTTTACGCATTTGCCTCTTATGCATCATCTACAAATATTTCTGTGGTTATTTGTGAGCACAAACAGCAGCAGCAGCAGCTAGCTGTAGCATGCTTAGTGCAGCCTGAGGTTATCTCCAGCAGGAAGTTTACACAAGTTCTGCTGAAATATGACAACAATGAAAACATAAAAGAGCTTTTGGAGTTGTTCTGAGATAAAAAAAAATCTTTTAGAAATTTTTAACAACATCCAGTCAAACCTTACTCAGGTGGATTTTGTTTTTAAAACAACTGCAAACTTCAAAATTTAATAGCAGATCATGTCAAAGATGTTATTTATATTTTTTGTTGTTTTAACAAAAACATAACATTACTGCCAGAAATGAGCTGAACTGCAGTAAAGAGCTACAGTTATCTGCTGCTGCTTTATGT